GCAGGGGAGAAAACAGGGGAAGGGGAGAGTGAGGGACGGATGAGTAAAAATGCAGTTGCATGAATTTAAGATCAGTTGCAGTTGGGAATGAGGGTTAGAGGGTTATGACAAAGTCTTTGTAGATAGGGTATATTCTGAGGATTTGATGGTGGCACCAGAGGAGGAGGAGGAGATCAATGATCCTGGTGCTCTACAGGGACAGATTCACATCCCGGGAATTTACAGTGTCAATGTAGATGGGAGCTGGAGAGGGGAAGGAGCCAAAAAGGGAAAGAAGAAGGAAGAGAGAAGCAACAAAAGAAACGCAACATCAGAGGGTGGGGAGAGTTGGGAGAGAGGAGGGTAACACAAGGTGGATGGGAGCAAGCGTGGTTTCACATAGCTACTTGTTGATGCAGTTGATGAGTTTCCCAAGTTTGCTATTAAAAGAGCAATAATACACCCAAACCTATTGTTGCCAAAACTATTGGAGCCAGTTTGGTGTAGTGGTCAAGTACGCGGACTCTAATCTGGGAGAACCGGGGTTGATTCACCACTCCTCCACTTGCAGCTGCTGGATGACTTTGGGCAAGCCATAGTTTGGTCAGAGCTGTTCTTGAAAAGAGCAGTTTCTGTCAGAGGTCCCTTAGCCCCACTGACCTCACAGGGTGTCTGTTGTGGGGAGGGGAAGGGAAAGGAGTTTGTAAGCCATTCTGACACTCTGAGTGAAGAATGGGGTATAAATCCAATCTCTTCCTCCTCTTCCTCCTGACCTTGGGTCAGTGACAAGCTCTGGCACAGCTGTTCCTGAAAGAGCAGTTTGTGTCAGAGCTCTCTCAGCCCCACCTACCTCACAGGGTGTCTGTTGTGGGGAGGGGAAGGGAAAGGAGTTTGTAAGCCGCTCTGAGACTCCAAGTGAAGGGCGGGGTATAAATCCAATCTCCTCCTCCTCCTCCTTCTCCTCCTTCTATGAAGCAAAGTGTTTCAAGCTGCAATTCCTGTTGCTGAGCTTCCTGACTAAGGGGCTTAATTTATGGGGACATTTCCTCGCAGAAGCCGTTAATGCAAGAACACAGTGCAAGAACACAGTGGTCCCATTTGTTTTGATGAGGCTGGCACTGAAGAATGTGTACTTAATGGTTACTTGATGGGGGATCAAAATCCCAATTACTTCAGACAAGCAGCAAACGTAACCTATACGTATCTCTATAGGTTTCTCCAACCCAACTGGTAAAATATTAAAGAAAATTTAGTTTTCTACATTCATAAGGCAGAAAGTGCAACAAAAGTGTCCAAAGGGTCATATATCTCTCTAGTGGGATGAAAATATGCTTCAGTCCCTTCGTTTCACTTTCTGTCTACTGCATTTTTATTCTGCCCTTCCTTCTGAGAGCCCAGAGTAGCATACATGGTTCTCCCTTCCCCATTTCATCCTCAACATGATACAGTCAGGTAGGTTAGGTGGAAAAGGGATGACTGACCCAAGGTCACTGAGTAAGCATCCACAGCAGAGTGAGGATTTGAACCCAGATCTCCCAGATGTTACTCTGACACTTGCTCTCTTTCAGTTTACATTCCATTTAGATGAAATGAATGAGCGGGCACCATTTAGGTCCTTGTGTAAACCACTGTTCTCTGAACCTCTCCTCTGCAATGTGGGGAAGTGTCATAATATTGGCCTACCTTGTCTGATTGGGGTACTGATTGCTGCAATAGTATAGGTACAAGACTGAAATGCAATGAATGTGTACAAAGTACGGGTATAGATTATACCATGAGTGAGGGTCTCAGGCATAGTAAAATTACTGGTTTCTAAAATGTGTGTTGTCTGGAGAGATGCTGCACAGTAAATATTCTACAATCCAGAACACAAATCTACAGGCAAGATATTTGTCTGCATGTGCTTGTATTTAGTATAATGTCCCCATGGGGCATAAGAGTTCTGCAAATTTATCAAACAAGGCATTGAAGCAAGAACCCTTATGACAAGATTGTCCTAAGAACATGAAGAAGAGCAAGATCATGAAAAATAGGGAGAGGGGTAAGACTTTGCCACAACCTGGAGAATGGCAATCCATCTCCATCTCCCAAAGTAACTCAAACAGTTCCTTCCCAGGACACCCTGCCTTCCTGTGACATATTTTCCTCTCCCTCTTGCATCTATAAGGAAGCCTTTTCTGGGCTAGGTGGGGGAACAAGATTCCTAGCACAGCCCCAAGACCTGATCTTGCTTGAAGATTAAAAAGCACAAAGGTGAATTGTAAGAATATAACACAGTAATGAGAGATACAGGTAGTCCTGTGAAAACACAAAGGTTGGGAAGAAACCACTTTCTCTATATATTCTTTGTGGTAATGTAACAAGGTCAGATTGCCACCGTTTTTGTGCCTCGCTCTGCTTCTTGTACCTTGTTGGCTTCTTCCCAAACTATTCCTTGGGCAATCCAAATAAATCTGATGAACATCTGTAACCCACCCCTTCCTCCAGTGAGCTCAAAGTAGCCCTGTGATGTACATCAGGCTGAGAGACAGCAACTGGTTTGAACCTAGCTCTCCTCAATGCCCATGCAACACTCTACCTACTCTGTCTCTGAATACAGGAAAGAGTCTTTTCCTCATACAGATTGTACCACTGCGTCACTTCAGTCCTTTCCTTCCATCTTTTTCTACGTATCATATTTATTTACTTCATGTATATTTAGCCTTTTTTTCACAACATGGTTACATGACAGCCTACATTGTTCTTCTCTCCTTCTCTCACGACCCTGTGAGGTAGGTTAGGCTTAGTGTGTGTGACTGGCCCAAGGTCACCCCACAAGCATCCACGGCAGAGTGGGGATTTGAACCTAGGTCTCCCAGAACCTAATCTGAGACTCTAACAACTACACCATGTTGGCTGGTATCTACATTCCAAATCATCATTGGTTCTTTCAGAGCCAGTTTGGTGTAGTGGTTAAGTGCGTGGACTCTAATCTGGGAGAACTGGGTTTGATTCCCCTCTCCTCCACTTGTACCTGCTGGATGATCTTGGGCAAGCCATAGTTCTGGCACAGCTGTTCTTGAAAAAGAGCAGTTTCTGTCAGAGCTCTCTCAGTCCCACCTACCTCACAGGGTGTCTGTTGTGGGGAGGGGAAGGGAAAAGAGTTTGTAAGCCGCTCTGAGACACCTTTGGGTAGTGCAATCTCCTCCTCCTCCTCCTCTTCTTCTTCTGACAATAATAATAAAATCAGAGGTACAGATGCAGAAGTGGACAAGGAATGACATACTAGCTAAATAATCTTGAAGAGGATGAAAGCTAGCTGTGATCATGTCAGAATCCACAAAACATAAACAAGTTTATCACCTGGTGCTTTGCACATGAAAGCTCATACCTTGAATAAACCTTTGTTGGTCTTAAAGATGCCACTGGACTCTAAATTTGTTCTACTGCTTCGGACCAACACGACTGGCACAGCTGTTCTTGAAAAAGAGCAGTTTCTGTCAGAGCTCTCTCAGTCCCACCTACCTCACAGGGTGTCTGTTGTGGGGAGGGGAAGGGAAAAGAGTTTGTAAGCCACTCTGAGACTCCCTTGTGTAGCAAATCCAATCTGTTCTCTTCTTCTTTTCTTTCACCTCAGTGAGCATGACGACCCCAGTAAAATATCAAATAAGGAAATGGGAGGAGAGAGAAGCTTTATGCTGCTGTACCAAATCCTTCCTGAGACTCAACTCCACGGAATTCTAGAGAGCTGTGCTGCTTCCCCCTAGATGAAGAACTGGACCTTCAAATGTACGAAGTGACACTGTGGATATGCAGTTCAAAAAAATCCATATCTTTCCTGAACTTCAGTTGATATAAGGCTTGAGGGAGATTTTTGCTGTACTGGCTGAAAACACCCAGGATTGCCCCCCTTCCCTTCTCCCCTTAAATTAATGGGCTCTATTGGAAGGTCATTGAAAACAGCAAAACAAATGGTTTCAAATGAACAGCACTAAAAAGCTAACTACTGTCATTATCTGCTTCTGTCAACAGGCTACCAGCAAATTAAACATTGATCAGTAAATTAATCACATGTTTTGTTTTTAAGTGAAACTTTGCCCTCTAGAGCTGTTCTGTCCTGATATTTGATGGCAATTGCAATGAATGTAACACAGGTAGAGAGGAAAGATTCCGCACCAATACTTAGTCAAGAGCCCTCACTTGAAACTTTCATTAGCTCTCGTTCATCAAACAATATGGCAGAAGACCCAGAATTCATCCGCTCCACTGAGTGATTAAGACCACAGAATGAGATAAGAGCAATTTTGAGCTGGCTCCTGCTTTGAAGTACAAAATTTACTGACACATACCATGTACAGACAGCAGATACTCAGAGTGGAAGATTAAATCCATAAAGAAGAAGTATCAGAAGATCTACAGCTGGTATACAATTGGCATTCCCCCCTTAATCAGTTTGCCTACAAGTTTTTTGTTTCCTTGTTTTCGGCCATACTGTAAAACTCCTACTTTGAAATCTTACTCTGTGATGTTTATATCAAGTATTTTGAAATGGGCAAAATAAGAAACATTTTTTTCCTGTCCTTTAGATATGACATTTTTTACAAGGCGGAGGGGGGGGGACCATTCCCAATGCTCTGGTCTCTTTTGCTCTGTGTGATTATAGCATGATTTTCTGGAATAATAAGCATGCAAATTAACAACAACATAGCCTAGGAAAAGGAATCAGAAACCCCCAGCTGTTTCACAACTTGCATGCACTTTTGACTATTGGATAAAAATACTCTCTGAACCAACTGAGCAAATCGTCTCCTGTCTGCTCAGATTCTTTCCAAAGGTCCTGCAGTTGTGGGGTCCAGATTACAACATGCATTCATTAAAAGCCCGAAGGTGGAATACTTCAGCAGATTTACAAAGAGGTAAACTTAAAAGTTATCACCTTTAGTGGTCTCTTAAAAAACAACACAAAACATATAGAAAAGCATTTCCCTCTTCCCTCCTCCCTTCCCCCCAATGAAGGCTTTCAAGAGATCAGGGCTACTTACTAGAGTATTAGAAGTGGACAGCCTGGTGGTATTGAGTCCTACCAGTGACGGGAGCGTTTGGGACATCCAGTTAGAGATCATGGCCATGGTACTCAGAACAGCACCCAGCTTGAGCAGAGGAGGACTCATTGCTGTGGAGGCTAATGAGTTTTCATAGTGACTGATTATCATCCTAGAGCAGGCAGGCAGGGAGAGGCGTGCCTGCAGCTCACCACAGCCACAGCATGAAAGGGGATCAGCCTCCCCAGATCTAATCATCCACTAAAACACACACACTCAGCAGCCTCACCCCCCCCCCCACCCCCCCCCCCCCCCCCCAGCGCAGCTTCTGTTTTTTTCTTCTTCTTTCCACTCCACACTACAGCAGGCTGGCCACAGACACGCACGAACGTCCTTTTATATGCTCCTGCCATGGGAAGGGAAGGGAAACGAGAGAGTGTGTGTAAGATTCTAAGGAATCTGTTCAAAGCTGGTTAACTCAACTAGTGTGAGGGAGGCGATGGCTAATTAAACACACAGCGCTGATAGGGAGAAGCACTACAAGGTGAATCTCCTGTACAAAGAGGAAGTACATGTAAGGGAAGCCTGGAGTCACACACGGCATTTTGACTGAGCACAGGACTATCGAAAAGTTTAGGAGGGAGATAGTCGACACAGGAGTGCCGTTCTCAAAAGTGGCCTCTGTGTGATCTGAAGCTAGGTAATTATTTCAGGGACTATGCTCGCTGGGAAAGGAAGAAGAGTAGGTTTTTATACCTAGCTTTTCTCTACCTGAAGGATGGCGTTTCAAAGCGGCTTATAATCACCTTCGCTTCCTGTCCCCACAATAGAAACCTTGTGAGATAGGTGGGGCTGAGAGAGTTCTGAGGGAACTGTGACTGACCCAAAGTCACCCAGAAGGCTTCATGTGGAGGAGTGGGGAATCAAACCCAGTTTTCCAGATCAGAGTGGTAGGTTTTTAACCACCATGCTGGTGTATTGATTTTTACAGGGCTTGACTCCATGTAAACATTTTGATTTTATTTATTAAGAATTGTGCTGCACCCTTTGATCTGTTAGATTTTTCTATTTATTTTTACTAGATTTGCACCCACACTGTCTTTCTCATCAGTGGGGATCCAAAGAGGCTTACATTATCCTCTTCTCTTTTCCTTCATTTTGTCCTCACAACAACAGCCCTGTGAGGTAGGCTGGACTGAGAGACAGTGACTGGCTCAAGGTCACCCTGCAAGCTTCCATGGCAGAGAGGGGATTCAAACCTGGGTCTCCCAAATCCTAGTCTGATGCTCTAACCACTACACCAAAAGGAAGATAAAGCAGTTTTGCAAACTACAGCCAGGATGACCAAGGTACAGAAAATAACAACACTAACAAGCAAAAGGTGAAAACCATCAACAGGAAAAAAAATCATCAACAGAACCATCCACAGAAAAGCAGCAGTGTAAGACTCAAAAACGAACAGACACGTGAACATGGGGGCGGTGGAGAGGTGCCAGAAGGCTCCCCAGAAGGCTCGGCTTTTGCTTTCCTCCTAAAACATCCAGAGAGATGTAGCAGGGCTTAGTACTGAGACAACAAGCAGGCTGATCCCATTCATGGAAAATTTGGAATGGTGCAGTGGTATATGATTGTCCTTCCCATGCATATTGTGTATGCTGTAGCACACTTGCACATTTCCCTTTTTCATGTGCACGTTTGGCTGCCTAAAGTCTCCTTCCTTGATATTTAGAAGCCTATTCAGATTTGGGGGGAATCATCAGAATTTGACAGGATGCACGAATTCTGAAGAGTGTGATAGTCGAGAAATGACTGTGCTTGATTAGGGTTCTAGAGGGCCTGGATGAGACCCTTTCATGTTTCACATTATCGGTCACTTTTGCATGAGCTACCATAATATGACTTTTGCATAACTTGGATTTTGGAACTCCACCTTTCCCCGTAACTATATGTTTTTGGGTCTGCTTGCACTTAGGGGGGAAAAGTCCTATATTGCCTCTATCAATAATTGCATATTAGTAATCCATAATGGGGAAGAACAAACCAACCGGGGAGATCCTTTTCAATAACATATTTCCACACCACTGCACACATGTAAAATAGGGTTGCCAACCTCCTGGAATTGTCCCAGAATTACAACTGAATTCCAGACTGCAAGGATCCGTTCCCTGGAGAAAACTGCAGCTCTGAGGGTGGTTTGTATGGCATTCCATCTCTCCTGAGCACCCTCCCTCCCCAAACTCCACCCTCCCTCCACCTCCAAATCTCCTTGAATTTCCTAAGCTGGAGTTGGCACCCCTAATTGTAACACTACCATCGGCTAGCAGGCCAGGCTCCTGGCTGCAAACACTCATGGGCCAGCCCTCAGAGGGTCTTGCCTCATGGCCTTCCAACGCCAGCAGCTGCCAAACAGCTTTGTGATTGTGCAGTAGCTGCAGTGGTGGAGTTTCAATTACTTCTGGGTCACGGATGGTAGGGTCCGATAATTAAATGATGTGCATTGTGGGGAAACGACAATTCCCATAAGGCTGTGAGAAAATATGCATACGCATGTGCAAAATAAGACAAACAACAGATGGGAAGACTTTAAAAAACATAGTGTTTATTTATTATCCCTGACAGACTGACTGACTGACTGACTGGTTTGCTCGCTGTTAAACTATTGGCTCTGAATGGTGCACAGTAACGACTGGTTTGTAAGCATGTGTAAGATGCTGCTGATCACGCCGTACTGTTTAAATACAGAGGACCTCATTCACTCTGCCTGGGAGTGTAGGCTCACCTGGGGACACTTGAGCTCTCTGGGATCCAGCCCTCCCACAGCTTCTACAAAAAGAAAAGGAGGACGAAGCAAACTGGTCAGCCAGTTCCTGTGCCTCAAGCTTGCTGTGGGTTTTTGTTGTTGTTGTTGTTGTTGCTCTTTGCCCTCTCCTGACCCTGCCAGAATCTCTCTTCTTTACTCACTTTGCCTGGTGGTGGTAGAAAGGGCTGTCAAGTCGCAGCTGACTTATGGTGACCCTGTAGGGTTTTCTAGGCAAGAGACATTCAGGCATCATGAACTCTGCGTCATGACCCTGGTATTCCTTGGAGGTCGCCCATCCAAATACTGACCAGGCTTACCCTGCTTAGCTTCTGAGATCTGAGATCCAGGTCAGGGCTCACTGGGCCTATTTGCTTTTAATTTTTCACTTACACCTTTATGTCATCTACAACCTGTCTTGTCCCTGAAAATTACAGCAGTTCAGAATGAAGGCATTTTTGGGATTGCATTTTTGAATGTTCTCTCCCTGCATGCGGAAAACATAGCAGGTGATGGGTTAGATTCCTTCTCCCCAATTGGCTTGTTTTCTAAATGGGAGTTTAGAAAACATGATGGGAGTGTTTGAAACTGAGACCTGAAGTGCTACTGAGATGGTGGCTTGCCTGTGGGGCACCCTTGGTAAAAATGGGGATTGAAGCCAGACCCAACGGCCTCTCCAAAGACCCATCATGAGATAATCAGAAGCTTTGAAGCTTTTATCAGATGGCAACTCTCTCCTCAAATAGAAGTAAAGCACAAGCAAGAGCCAGTGTGGTGTAGTGGTTGGACTAGGCTCTGGAAGGTCCAGGTTTGAATCCCCACTCGTGCTATGGAAGCTTGCTGGGTGATTTTGGGCCAGTCACTCTCTCAGTCTAATTTACCTCACAGGCTTGTGGTGAGGATGAAATGGAGGAGTGGAGGACAATGGAACCTGCTTTGAGCCCCCATTGGGGAGAAAGGATATAAATGAATTAAATAAATAAATAGAAAAATAAATAAATAAATTAGGTGGGACTATCACCAGATCAAAGGACTAGCAATGTATGTTGAAGGCATAGTTGTGGGGTTTTTTGGTAGAGTTTGTGTGTGTGTGTGTGTATGCTTGTATGCCTGGCTGTCATGGTGACCTCTGGCAACCCCTAGTAAGGTTTGGACATTTTCAGAGAGGTGGCTTGACTGCCTACCTCTGCATCCCAAGCCCTGGTATTCCTTGGAGGTCTCCCTTCCATGTACTCAGGACTATTTTTGGGCAGGAACGCACAGGAACGGAGTTCTGGCTGGCTCCCAAGTTGGCCACGCCCAGCAGGAACTCATTAGTATGATAGGACACACCCAACAGCAGACACTCATTAGGATTGGCTACATTAGGGGTGTGTGGCCTAACATGCAAAGGAGTTCCTGCTACAAAAATGCCCTGGGTTTTGACAACAAAGAAGGTAAACAGAATAAGAAGCGAAAGGTGGGTGTGGCTGGATGACCACACTTCTGGTAACATGGGAATGCGGCTTAATATGCTAATGAGTGGTGCAGTCAGGGGTGTGGCCTATTATGCTAATGAGTTCCTGCTGGACTTTTTCTACAAAAAAAGCCCTGCATGTACCTGCTAGGGTTGGCCCTGCTTAGCTTCCGAGATCTGATAAGATCAGGCTTGCCTGGGCTGACCAGGTCAGGGCATCCTTATGCATTCATAATCGGAGGTGGTTTCCTTTTAATCACAGAGAGATGTATATCCTGGGGTCTTTGTATGGGGTTCAAGAAAGTTCTTAATATTTGTGAGGTGAATCCTAGTAAAAAGTTGGTCAAAAGGGGCGGAATATTATCTCAGTTTGAGTGAGGTGTGTGCTGCATCTGACTCACATCCAGAACTGCATCAGCAACATGAGGGCGGCTGCTTGGCAGAACTCTCCTGCTAGAGCACTACATTTGGTTTCAAGAGGGATGAATGTTGGAGCTAGAGTCAACCTCTGATACAACTGACATCAGATGAACATGATAATAAACAATCTCCTTGGAATCTAACATGGAAAAGGCTTGCTTGATAAGAACTAGAAACTGAACGGAACTTTGTTTCAAGTAAACAAGAGTATCGTTCAGTCAACATTTATCTGAGTTAGCTAAGAGGGACTCTTTTCTGGCTTTGTACCCAAAAAAATGATTTGTGTGAAAACAACATTGTATTTCCCTATGCAAAGTTCCTTGGAGAGGCTTCTGACCTTTGGTTACGTAAGTGCTGTTTTCAGGAAACATCTCTAATAGCATACACGGAGCACTCGCAATATCCCCTCACATTCATTCTGAGCTGTCTTGAAAACTGAAGTTTTGCGAATACTGTGAAAAGAGCAGCATGCCTCAATGCTTA